TTCCCTAATAGAAGCCATACAGCCTTTTCTGGAATACAAAGACAATTATTCCCTATGTGACATCAAAATTATTAACGTATAGTAATATTGAGTTTGACAGTCAATGTTCCAGTAGAATGTAGACTCTAAAAATTAAGGTATTGGGTTACAAAATGAGGGACTGACACATATAACCTGCCCATGCTCTCTTTTAGGGATAGACCTGCCGTTTATGATGATGCCCCACCCTCTGCTTCCCGTCAGCCTACCTCCCGCGTCGGTTGCAATGGCAATGAACCAGATGAACCACCTCAATACAATAGCGAACATGGCTGCAGCAGCCCAGATGCACAGTCCTCTCTCCAGGGCAGGGGCCTCTGTGATAAAGGTAAGAGTCATTTATGAGACTTAGGGAAAAGTAGCTTTTTGCGGCTAACAAAAACATTTACAGTGACTTTCTTAAGGAAGATAGCTAAGAGGCAATGAGCTTATACTGCCGGTAGCACACCTGGTCTGCTGTTCCTGATAGTGCTTCAGTTTGAGGAAATACCCACGAGTACAGTCACAAAGATAAGATGCTCTGCTCTATCTACAGATCTGTAATGTAATTAAAACCAGGCACTGACACACAGCAGAGGCTAGGGGAATAAGCAGCGCTGCATCTGTTGAAACTCAAAAGCCATTCTGAAATGTTGTGTAAAGTCAAACTTAATGTTATACTCAAAAGAAGATGGTATAGAACATAACAGGAACTCTGGTGCAGTGCAGTTCTGGAAGAGGTTAATAGCAGAGAAGATCATCAGAAGCACATTGGTGAGTCTAGTCTCTGGTAGCCACACCTAAACTTCCTTCTGCCTGGATAAAAGTGCCTCAGGTTGTTTTTCTTCTCTACTGAGAGTCCACTTCCAAGTTAGGGCAAATGTTCTCAATACTTTGATTTTGTTTACATTTTATTTTCTTGGATTCTGGAAGGCTGGTAAAATTTTGGGGGGGGATTCCTCAGTTAGAGACTAGTTTAGGACTAAGATCTATAAAAACATCTCCTTATCGTCAGTGTATCTGCACCACTGCTGGCTGGGCGGGGGCAGTGTGGTCTCTCTGATGTCCGACTGCCCATTAGTTAATGCAAGTTTAACTGTTCAGAGACCTCTCGAGATAACCATTACCTAAATACAGCAGGGGAGTATTTGTAGCACCAAGTAGACTACATGAGCTTTTTCAGATATGTTTCATTGATAGCATATATTTCAAATGCCATCAGTGTGTCAAAATGAATATTCAATATGTATTTGTAAACAATGCCAGTTCTTTGTAATATAAACGACAGTTTTTGCAAGCAGTTAGGTTTAAGGATGCTCTTTAGCAGGCCCTTGCTGATGCTGGTCACTCGTTTACAACTCTTTCCTCAACACCTGCACTCAAGGATACACAGTATCTCCACAGCAACAGTAGGTCTCCCCAGCACTCTAGGGGGAGTTGCTTCCTCTACAGGATGAGAGGAAAAACACCAGCAGCTAATGTGATAGAGGTGAAGTGTGCATCCCTCGCTGTGTTACTCTCACCTGTTGAGTGACGCTGCATCGTTCTGTTGTTTGTTCTGAGTGCTGGAACTGCAGATGGATTTTATTAGACAGCGTGAAGCTCCTTCTGTCCTTTCCTTCCCTTATACACAATCACCTAGCTCTGGATGACAATCAGTTCAATGAAATCCTTGTACAAAACAAGGATTTTCCATGTACTTTTATGATATGACACTATTTAACTGTGTTTAGTAAGTACAGAAAATTACTAGTTTTAGATAAACTGTAATTCCAGCATGAGGACATTACTTAAAATGGAAGAAATGAATCGAATATATTGAGTGTGTATCTATTTCCATACTCTGATGACTAAAATACCACTTGGCCTGTTTTCTATAGGTGTGAGAATCAGCTGCTTTATAAAGGTTTTGAATGAAGTCATTATGCTTTTTATATCACGTTTGCCATTTCGAAATAAGCTGTTCTACCAAGACATGCATGATCAGCAAAGTTAACATTTAGTGCTCCAGAAAGAAATGTCATAACTATGAAACTTGATTTCTTCCTGACAGGAACACTATAAATTAGGCAGGCACAACGGCCAGGCTCACAAAACCTTCTTCGCCATCTAGAATATGATCTGATGTGATTATAGCAGCACCTGCTAGCAGCGCTATACTGCGGCTCTGACAGTGCTCCTGTCATAAATCCCGTCTTTCAGGGATTTACTGCGCATCTGAAAGAGCTCGCTCCATTTGAAACTGCTCAAACTGTTCTGAAGAATCTGTATAACTGAGGGTCTCATATGGCAAAACCAAAATTTGACGCTGACTTCACCATCTTCTCTCCTGTTAGTCCTTTTTTTTTTATTTTATTTTTTTTCCAGAGCTCTCTTCAGCTGGGTGAACTCTGCCATCCAGTTACTGGGCTCGGTGTAAAATCCTTTGCCAGCCTGGTCTTGAGGACCAGTCTGGGGTGGACCTTAGCTGAAGTACACTGGAATCATTTTGTAGACTAGAAACGGTAGGGAATAAGTGTAGTTTATTGTCACTCAGTAATTTTGTTCCTGAAACTCAGGAAATCTACTTGGTGGGGATATTTTGAGGTCTTCAGAGGTGAAGCTTGGGTGGGTCCTTTGTAGAAAAGAATAGAACAAGTCAACTCCACAGAGCAATAACTACATAATGTTAAGATCTTTATTTTAAAGTGGACCTATAATGAATAGGACTAATTATGTATCAAATTAATATTACAATATGCATTCACAGCATATTATACAGTTTATCATAAAGGAGCTGTTAAGATGTATCAAATAAGATATATTAGATATCAAAAGAGTACTGATATTAATGAGGGAAGAAATTATCTCAGAGATTTGAGAGGATCTTTTACACCTTTCTCCCAGGTTTTCCTTGCTTCTTGTTCTCTTCACCCCACATATTTTGCACTTTCCTTGCTCCTCTTCCTCATGTCTCACTCCTCCCCCTCCATCTCTCCTCCTTCTCGTTCTCTCTCCCTTTCCTCTGGGTCTCTAACAGCCTCTTTTGAGTCACTGAGAGATGTGCTTCTCCTGAGTAGGAGGATTTCTGCAAATTGGTTTCCTGCTGTCCATTTTTCTTCTGTCGTCATTCCCTCATGCTTGCTATATTCCTACTTTTCTCCCATTATTTCTGCTCTTATCCGGGTCCAATTGGGAATAAATGGCACACATGTTGAATGCGGCTGGAAAACCCAGAGACAAGTTAAAATGTAATTGAAAAAAAAAACCACTTTTTAGGTGCAATGCAATGGTTTGTTTTGGCAGGGAAACTGAAATCTTGTACTTCACATCAACCCTACACAGCTTCCGTCTGAACGTTTTGGTCTGCTGATAAACAGCACAAAACATGATCTGTTCAGTGTGATCCAGACATGCAGTAGAGATTTTTCAGTCTCCTCTTCTTTGTGTTCTCTTGTTCTCCTGGTTTTATGGGATTGGTAAAGAATGTGTAAAGGATGTATATGACATGATTTTAAATTCCCTAAAGAGAATACAGATGGGCTATGTAATTATTGCTGAGAGGTGCTATTTTCTGTGTGCTCTACAACTCGCATTCATAATATTTACCTGACAGCCAGAAAAATGTGGCCATCTCAGAATACTCTGAAACAATTCTTCTCAGTATAAAAACGCTTCTCATTACAGAATTTATAATATATTTATTTCATATCCCTCTGTGTATTCAAACCATTCAGAATTGTTTTCAGAATATTACAAGATTTGTAAAATAAAACTCGCCTAAAATATATGTTGTTTTTCTTGTTATTAGATATATTCTGTTGCATTTCGTAGCACGTGTTCATTGCAGGCAGCTTATTGCAGAAATGGGTACTAGAATATGTTAGGGGAGCAACTTGTGAGACAGAGTAGTTCCAGTTTGCTTCTTACAAAGCTGATTTTCGTGGTTGTGTCTGTAAGGAAGGAGAAGGGAGCGTGCAGTTTTGTATCTCTTTTCACTGATACAGAAAAACTCCTGTGTTGGGAGATGTTCAGGTCCCTGCAAATTGCATTAAGTACCCTTCTTATCTCTCCTCCTTTGAAGGGAGGCATATCCCTCTCCCTGCTATGCCAGGAATGTCTTACTTGTTAACACCGAGACACCTAGTTGTTAGCAATGAATACTTATTTTAAACTTGCAAGTGGAAAAAAATACAGTAAGAAGCAAGGACATCTTTTCAAAGCTTGCAAGAGAATATTGTTAGGCCAAGCACATACTAGCGTTTAGTTCTGGCTCAGATCTTTTTAGTATTGGCTTAGTCATTTGCTTTTGTACTTAATAACTAATAAAGCAATAACATAGATTGGATATAGCGTTATCATCATTAGTCCTGGGAGCGCCTTTCTTTCATTCAGTAGCAGCACTGGATGGAACATTCATAGGAGAAAATTTCTGCTGCAAGGTCCTTTCCAATTTTAGTCAATACACTTTCAGATTCAAAGTAGAATGTGAAGGTAAAATCTTAATGTTCAAGTGAAGGTTGCCATAGTTTTCACAGTGGCTGCTAATTTAAGAAATGGTGAAGAAGGAAGCTCTTGTTTGGCTGGTTCCCAGTGCCATCTGATGAGCTGGGGTTTTCTGTTTGGCTGAGCAGCTGGCAATTAATGGATTGATAGGAAGTAGTCACAAGGTAATGGAATTAGCAAGAGAACATCTGGTATTAAAAATCAGTAAATGTAGAAGAGTTTTTATGATTTCTTAAATTTGGTGGGGAAATAATTGCTGGTTGACTCCAACTGAAACAACTATATGTGCACAGTGAAAAAAAAATAATTGCATTTTAAGTTGTAAAGTACATATTTTAAGTGAATGACTTCCCAATACACTGCAAAAGATGAATGGGATCCAGCTGGCTTTCAGACACACAGATCCTATCTGAGTTTTGAGACCAGCTGTTTACCTTGTTCGTCTCCAGTTCTTACAGCAACTGGAGATACTATAAGTAGCTCAGAAGACCAGCAAGTCATCCATAGTCTTTGCATGTGCCTATTTCCAGACTGAAATGATTCAAAATAGAAACCTAACCACTGTTCTCTTGCCCCAAACCAGTAACTCTAGCTATCGTATTTCTTGTCGGCCATTGTCTGGCATAATTTCAGATTTAGCACAGCTCCTTCTTACTGTGTCAGGATTATTCTCTTTCTTTGAAAAGCCTAAATGCCAATTATATATTGCTTTTCTCAAGAATGCATTAGTTGAGGTCTGTAAACTTTAGGACACTATTGAATACATGCTTGTTATTAGAATCCAGATAGTATTGGTGTCAACTAAGGTCAATTGGAAAGAAATAGGTGTCTCAGTATTACCTGAAAAAAAAAAAGTTAGTAATTCAGTTCTTTGCTAACTGAAACTGTGTTCACTTTCCTTATTCTTCTCTCCTGTGAGGATGGAATTCAGCCAGGGAGCTAGGAGCAGTGATATCACAGGCATGAAATTGTGGTAGTTTTGGCTAGATGGTTATCAGCTCAAAATCTTTCTTACAGTAGTTGAAAATTCTAGTCTAGACCTAAAGACAGTGGAATCCCCATTTTTCCTTCTCCTCCATTTCATCAGCGAGTTCTGGTGAATTCCAGCTCTCCTGCCACTGCAGAGCCCTGCAGTGTACAGGAGCAGCACCTCAATTAAATATGAAATATCAAGATAAATGTCTGAAGAAAATATCCAGGACTCAGACAAACTTCCAAAAACCTGCTTGTCAGCAGTGAAATGCCATTAAATCCTCTAGGAACTCATTAATAGACTAACATTTGGAAGAGTAATTACAGCTACATTAGAACTAAGAATCAAGAAAAATAAAGGAAAATCCAGCAGCATCATTTCTCTAAACTCTTGATACAAAATAAAGATCAATACTATAAAAAAATCAGAGGTAAGGAATTAAGGTCAAGATGATTATGTCAAAAATAGGTAAGCTGTTCATATATATTTCAAATAAAACTAGTGTGGATGCGACTGTTATGTAGTGTTTCATATTATCTGTGTGGAACACTACCTCATAGGGGATAGAAAAGGGATACTGAGGTGAAATCAAGGATGTATCTGGAAATTGGATGAGTTGATGACTTCAGTGCTGTTAACTTAAATCACAACCAAAATTAACAATGTCAAGCCTTGTAGCTACATTTTCTGAGACAAAGCAAGGCACTGATCTTTAGTGAGACAGAAATATATTACCCTTCAAAAGGATTAAATACTGCAAATGTCTTTTTTGAGAATTTATGTTACAGCTCTGTAAAGGGAAGAGAAAAGATAAGACAAAGTAGGTGCTATGGTTAGATAAATAGGTGAGATCTTGAGAAATGTTTTCATTTTTCATAAAATTCTCACAATCTGTAAATTTTGTGTATATAATTCATTACATTATAACCTGGAATAGGAATCTTGCAAATTTATGAAATAGGAAGAAATACAAATGGAGAAAATATGACTTTATTTAGAAATGTTTCTCTATTACTGTGAGTGTATCTACTGTAGAAGCAGGCTGCACAGCAGTGTGCCGGTGGGAACTGAGCTATTTTTCAAGAGGAAAAAAAAAAATATGAGAAGTAACAAGGTTGTAAAATACATAGATGATAAATAAAACGAAACCATCAATGTCTAAAAAAATGTTAAGGTTTCAGATTTGCAATTTTGCTATTTAAATGCCCTCATTGATTTTTTTACAAATACTGTTAACCCTGTGTTTGGAAAATGGAGAGGACATTATCACTTGTGTTCTCATTTGTAATAAAATAGATTAACTTGCTGTGAAATTTTAACTAGGCTGAGACACAACAGTAGCTACCTAATGAACCAGAGCACATTGCTGTTAAGTAGCTAAATAGATGCATACTGATTACAGGACTGAAAAATGGATCTGTTTACTTGCGAAAAAAGACTCTGTTCGTAGTGTTATTCATTCTAGTAGGGGAAGTTCAGCATTGCATTTCCACACAAACGTTTAGAAATAGACAATTTCTCAATCCATATGCGGTCTTAGGTGATGGTACTCCATCCTCGTTCGTAGTCCATATGATACAGAGAAAATTTCAGCTCTGTTCTTGCCTATAGGGGAAAGTGTATCTTCCCTGTGCATGTAAATTTTTGTAGCTGGTAAGACATTAGATGACATAATCAACTAATTCTCTTAGAAACTGATTAAGAATGACATTATTATTTGACGCTTTTATTTCTGCCTGAACATTTCAAACCAAGACCCTGAGTTTGAAGGCAAATCACTTGAGGCAGAGATTATTTTATAGCAAGAGACAATGGGAAATGCAGTTACCAGAAGGAGCTCAAATACTTTGCTTTTCCAAATCATCAGCTTTTGAATTACTCAAATAACTCCCATTTAAGATGACATATATGGCTGTTTGTGTGATATCTAAGTGTTAATTCATAGTCATATTTGTTCATAGTTTTTTTTGCAGAACAGTTGGCGTGTCCTCTCCTTGGCTATTCATTTTCATGGTTGCAATAGACAATGAAATTTACTTTGACTATGTACTCTTCTGTAAAATTAATCATTTCAAAATGATATCTTAATTGTAAATCCACTACTCCATGTGGTAAAGAGAGAGGAAATAGTGCCAAAGAGGATGGTTCAAACTGAAATCCAGGCAAATAGAATTACAGTCAGAGTTGTAGCGTGTCAGCAGTAACCTATTTGGGAGCTATTATTTACATAAAGGTAAAAGACATATAGTATTTAGAAGCTCAGGATTGCATGTATATGATTGTCGTGGTTTCTGTCGTGTCCTGCCAAAACCAGGACAACGATTCATCACTTATTTAGGAGAATACTTCTTGGGTTAAGAATAAAAATTCTTTTAAAAGTAACCTAATAAGCAGCCCATCCACAGAGTAAGTCACAACTGTCTTTTATTCTTCCACTCATCTTAGCAACCTCTAAAATGACTCTTGGAGACTGAGAAGATGATGATGCAGGAGACTTTGGGATCAGTGACTTTGACTTTTTTCCCCACCAGGATTTGAAAATTTGTTTGTTTAAAACCATCCAATATTAAAAACTTTAAAGACTTGAGACCCAACATAATAGATTCATATCTGTTAAAACTTAATAAACATTTTTAATTAGCATTCAAAAATACTGCAATTAAAAGTCTCCCTTTAAGATTTATTCGTTATTGTGTGTTCATTAAATAACACATAATTGGTGAAAACAGATCCATCGAGGATTAACAGCTATGTAATAGATACACATCTGTTACATGCTTTGGACGCTCGGTTGTTACTTAACGTACAATAACCATCCTGTTAAAACACATCCAATGTTACGTTTTTAGCGGGTGTGATTGGAATAGGGAATTGCCACCCCTTGCTAACAAGAGGACCCTGTCTCGTGTTCCCCATGCATTATTCTCCAATGTATCTGTACCTATGAAAATGAGTGTTGTTTAGAGAGATGGTCTTAATGAGTAACAGAATATTCTGAAAACATCGATCTTACTGCCATTGTTATTGTCGTGATCAGTTATGAACAGAAGCCATTGTGGCACCTATTTATAATGGAATAGCTGTTAGAATCTCCCATTCGCTTCTTAAAACTGTATTATTGATTTAGGTTGCTGTCTAGCAAAAACTGCAGAAGAAGTTGAGATGCTATGGAGTTTATTTTCAAAAGCACATGGTAAATTGCCACCAAGTAGCCAGATTGCATATTCCTAATGAAAAATCTTTGAGAATAGGTTAGAAAGGCAGAAAAATTGCAACATTCCTTTGAGACAGCTTCCCCAGATTACACTGTAATAGTGCTTTTTAGTGAGGTGGGGGCAAGAGGATCTCCCTTTTTAAAAAAAGAAAGTAAAATTTCAGTTCTGAGTTTTCACAGGGAACAGCTGATTGCCAGGGATGAGGGCAACTCCAAACCTGAATTATTTATTTGAAATGTGACTCATATATGTCAGTTTTACTATCTGTAGATTGAAAGAAGTTTGTGAGAACAACATGAAGGAACATTCTTTATGTTGCTATATGTGAAAAAGTTAGAAAATAAAAAGTTAACAAAAAAAAAAAAAAAGGTGGAAAGTGCTATGTCATGACCTAAAGGATGACAAGCTATGCCCAGATCCATTGCAAGCAGAAGGTTATACTCCTTTTGCCTATAGATGACTATACTGCTCTTTCGATGTGAATTCTGTTCATTATTTATCTCGGAAAGAACATTTGTTATTGCTATTTTAGCCAACTTCATTTTTTCCTTGAACTTCAGTGAAGTTCATGAATCAAATTGCCCAGACCTTGTTTTCTTTCTGTTTCAAGGAAAGGATTCAAGACAGCCCTTCTCCAGCTCCGTCTCTAGAAGACAGCCAGCGGCCTGGGAGCCACGCGTCCTCCCATCAGAGCAGCAGCGTGTCCAGCTCGCCGTCCCAGTTGGACAACACACCGGACAGAATTGGTTAGTGCTCTGCAGCCTCACGCCCCTTTGCAGTTACCGACCTCAAGAACTTTAGAAGTTTGTTGAGGCAGATATTTATTTGCTGAGAAACTCAGGAAAGCACTCGCTAAAAAACCCAGAAAGTTCATCAGTAGATCTTTTTTTTTTAATTACGTTCATCACTGTGCAGAGCCCACCCCTCGGACTGATTCTGTGCCATTCTGTAGCCAACCATGCACAGAACATATCGCCCCTTTGCTGGTGCAGCCAACTTCTCTTGCATGCTGGAGTAAGAAAGTGCCACTGAAGGCACCTGGAATTGAAAAACAGCAAGATATCTTTATCTTCGTATTTATGTCAGGAAGTTCACAGATTATATGATGACTTTTCTGTTCCAAAAACGTCCTCATGCCGACGCATTCCCTCATCACCACGAGGCTGAGGGCTTTTGGATTTTTTTGGCCTCTCCACCAGCTTTCCCAGCCCGCGCGTTATCGACCTTGTGTTTGAAATGCTAATTCAGTCTAGAGGAAGTTGAGATCCTATTCTTGGTGCTTCCAAGAGGGATCTAGGGCAAGTCAATTAACATCTCTTCGCGTCAGGATATGTCAACACTGTTGTTTTCACAGAGACTGGAGCCCATGCGGGCCTTGCTGAGCTAGGTTTAGACTACAAAAACAGTGCAGTCCGTGTCAGTCAGTGCAGACTTCACTCCCATCAAATACCTCCTCAGCTGCTTGATGAGATTTTGCAGTTTTGGCTCTGGTCCCTGCAGCAGCACCGTGATGCTGTGTAGCGCAGTTGGCTCAACACCAACTAGTCAACAGAACCTGAACAACCTAAACAAACGCACACACAGGGCAGAGACTAGCAAAGAGATTCCCCTCAGCTTTGTCATATGGAAAGTAGGGCTAAAAATATACAGGACAAGAAATGTGGCTTCCTACAGCAACAGTGGAAAAGGGACTTTTGTCCTCACTGTAGCTTTTTAAAGCTACTGCAGCTTGTTTTATTAATAGTAGTAGCACCCACTGCAAGCTCTGGGCTCCAGAAATGGTGTTGAAAGTTTTCTAAAGGAAAATAGGTTTTATTTATGTTGAAACAAATATTTTTCTGTGTTGAAATCTAATGCTTACTGTTGTGAAGATATGTATAGATACTTTCTATCTATATGAATAGAAATACATATTTGCTTTCCCTAAAATATGGCGATGAACTTTTTAACGTGTCCTCATTGGAATAACTTTAAATTCTGCAGTTGGTTAACTGCAGAGAAGGAAATGTTTTAATCAAATAAGAACAAAGAAAATAGGCACCCTGAAATCATAAGCTTAACACCTCTCACTGATCTTGCAGGTGTTAAGTAAAGAATTTCTTTCAACACTGCAGCATATCGGCTTTTTGTTTGTCATATATCAATTTGGGTTGTTATCTGTCTGTCTGTATTTTTTATTAAGCTTGCTGCTTTACAGAAAATTACTAATACTTAATTCCTTCATTTTTTTTTCCTGAAAGGGATTACTGTGAAGTACTTTTTTAATTAGTTAATTTGAACATATCATAAGAAATCACATTTATGTTAGTGGTAATTTGGGTTCTGTCTTGGAATTTTCATTTAATCAACTTGAGCAAATTTGCTTTTGCTGCATATTGTACTTGGCTCTAAGTGCTGAACTGGGACAGGGAAATAGTTGATTATGGACAATAAAAATGATCAATTGCTTTAGAACTTATATAGTATAAATAAATGCTAAAATACCAAAATATTGACAAGAGGAAACATAATGTAGTCTTTTCCTCTTTTCTGACACTTTTTTACTAGCAGTGTTCTCTGATTTTTTAGCTATGCTGACCAACAGCAGGGAAGGAGAACTCATTGATCAAGAAACTGGGACCAGCCTAAAAAAAATACAAAAGGAGAAAGGTAAAATTACAGACTGTTTTCCATCTCAGGCATTTAATTACCCTTGTTATGTGTTTTATTCCTTTTTCTAGTATTCTGCATATGCAATGACATAATATTATAAATTTAAGAGCGCTAAGTGCCTGATTGCGATGAATGATGTATCCAGTGAATTACATGGCGTTCTTCTTAGCAAGTGTAAACAAATCAGATCTTGGCTTCTCCCTGTTTGTATAGTGTGGGGCTAATATTTTGCTTTTTGACTCAATTATTTATGAAGCTCCCAGCAAATATTTGATTAGACACATGGTATTGTTTCTTTGCCTCCGGTGGATGTGCGTACAGACTACTGCTGGTATGTAGGTGAGGGCAATAAGTCATTTTTTGTGTCTAATAATATTACATTATGTTGCAAATGAGAGGCAGCAAGGGAAGGAGTGACGTTTGGCCTGTGGTGATTGTCCTGTAGGCAGGGAAGTGCCTTCTCTGCCTGGTTCTTCCCACAGTGATTTTTGGGTGCTGGAGACAGTGAATATGTTGGCGGATGCAGGTGAGCCCTGGGGAAATGTCGGAGTGACAGAGAGCATGTGGCATTTGTGGCTGCACATGGAGGAAGAAGAGCTGTCTTGTTTCCTTGCAAATATAACAAAAAAATAAATCATATTAGTTGGCGAGAGGTTTATTCTGGCAGTACATATGGAAAGCACCGTTCAAAGTGAGTGCCGCAAAAAAAAAGAAGATGGGGTATAGTTAAAGAAGTAAAAGAAAGCTGAAGGTAAGTGAATACTGGAAAAATACTGCAAAGGCATATGCTGAGGGAGATATTAAAGTTTCAGAGTGAAAAGGATGTGAAGAGAAGGAAGTGACCAAAAGAAGAGAGAACATAAGCTAAACGTGCTTACACATCTTTACTGTAAATGTGAATATTTTATGATAAATGAAACACAAACTGATTTATAGTTTGAGGTGATTTTAGGTTATCTGTAAAAATCAGACAAACTCATACACCTTACAGGCATGCGCAAGTGATTGTGCTCTCTGTTTTTAATGTATTTTCTGAGGAGACAAAGAAAGCAGGTATAGGAAATTTTATGAGCTACTCAAGAGAATTTGGAGGCTCCATGTGCCCCGTGGTTCCAGAGCTATATAAAATCATTTGAGCAGATTCATGATTTTGTATGATCGGCTCTATTCCTTAGGCATTTGTAACTGATCCCATTATGGGTAGGAAGAGCCTGAAACTTCCTTCTTGTGTTTTATGTTTTTGTACTCAACTCTCTCTCCTCTTGAAAGGAGAAGAAGCTGTTTTCTATTCACTGGTTTCTCCAGGCATTTAAGCACTTTCCTCATGAACCCCAAAAGAGCACTTCTATGCCATTCTGAGATAATTTTCTGTCTGGATCATCATGCTTAAATCCTTCCCTCTTGACTCCTGTTGGCGTTTATGGACCAACACCAGAGGCCAAAGAGTTATCAACCATACCTTCATTCCTAATTAAAAAATTACATTCTGCAGTAACTACATAGGTGAGCATTTAATCTAAATCTGAAGGTGTAGCTGATTTTAATTTTGTTGAACTATGATGGTTTCTTGCCACATGTTTAGTCATTTTTCAGAGGAACAATTCAATGTCCTGTGGGGTTCAAAGATGCAAATCATGCAGTTATTGGTAGCAGCAGTCCTGTCACTCAGGACGGATGAAGGAAGGTACAGTTTAAGAATCAGAAAAGGCAATTCAGAATTCCCAAAAAGCATAAAAATCATTTAAACCCTACGACCTGTGAAGCCAATTCCTAGGCTCCTGTGATCCAATATTGAATGTTCCTTGTAACTTGCACAAAATCCCAAAGAACTGATGCTAACATGTTGTGTACCGTAATTCACCTTAAGATTAAAGTTGTATAGGTTTATTCATTTCCTGGTCTACATTTTTGCATAGTATTATCTTTCTTCAATTGATTATATACTTGGAAATGTGTATTATATGTGTCATTCTGCATGCACTTACAGGGTTTTTTTTAGGATGAACTTAGTGTTCAGAGGCTCTCCTGCCTCAGAAAAAAGTGCTTCAAAATCATGAGACATTTTAAATAATTATTTTAAAGATGGAATAATGTTTCTGTTTTTTTACTTTGTCTGCACAGGTTAAGCTTTTCTCTGAAAACATGAGAATGAGAAATTATTTCTTTTTGTCAAGTAAAGATGGAATTTTCAAGTAATCTCACAGGTCCAGAACTGAAACTTTTTGATGACATTATAATGGGACAAATGCTGAGATTTTAAAGGCACCAACATTGTCTATCTAACAATTCCAACCTGATTTTGCATTGGGTAGTGTGCCAGACCTATATGACAGTTCCTGTAGGAATCTCTGTTTTCTAGGATACAAGCACCCTATAATGGGTGACACCAGTGGGACAGAGCCAGGACTCTGCTTGGGAACATCCCCAGCCTGTGTGTGCTGCGCCTTTCTGCCACTCCGTATGAGTGTTGGTATTCCTCTGTGATTTGTCTCACTCCCATAGAGATTCCTTATTCTAACGCTATTATTATTCTCTTCTGAATAATTATTTTGGGCTCTGGTGCACCTCAGATATGTAGAATGTTTGTCACAGTCAAATGCGGACAGTCGCTGGAGAGTGGGATCTGTGCTGGGTTGCTCAGCAAAAAATACCCGTGTAATTGGTACACAGAACAAGCTTTGCTTTTCAAAACCTGCCGTTACTTTTACCAAGGCAAAAATATATTTACCATGGAAAAGCTTTTCAAAGTTATTAAGAAGGAATGTAGTTAAAATAAAAGTATCAACATTTATTAAGTATGACAAGTAAGCGGTTTATACAACCGTGGCAAACATATGTTTTCACATCTGTTTTGAGTAATATCATCATGATTTTAAAAATGATTTATAGCTCTGCAGGCCGTAAAATGCCAGCTTTGCTGTAAGTTGGAAGTTTTCAAACAACAAAGAAATTATTGAAGGCATATATTGAACATGTTTTTGTGTTATACACTTTGATATAACTTTGCAAATCTGAGCACTCTGTAGCAATTAAGACACCAACAAATGAAAATTAAGTAACTAAAACTTAGAAGTACTACTTATGTGAAATTTTAGCATAAAACCCAATCAAAGTTATTGTAATTATTGTAGGCAAATACTGTGATATCCCTCAGGATACACAGGTTTTGTTTTCCATGTCCCATTTTAAGTGATCTCAGCACCAGACAAAAATGTGCCACGTTGTTCTCATCAAAGTAATTTCAAGGTAATAAGGGCTGAAGAGAATATAGCTTAACAGTTTCTCTTTAAAAGACAGTTAATATGAGGTTGTTCCAATAATGTTGAGCTGTTTGCATATGTTGGTGGGGCAGAATTTAGAGAATTAGTGGCTGTCTTGGTGCAGAGGCTTTAGAGTCCACTTACAGACCATACCTCCATACCTTAAGCTTTTTGAAGGAGAAATGCCATTAAATCTCAATTACTCTGCATCCTTTCATCATGTTTTTAGGATGTATGGTCAGGCTTAACATTAGAGGACAACAAAGTCAAACATCTTTATAGGTCTGCAGTTTTATTTTTTTATACAAAATACGTTCTTGTATTTTTGTCAAACGTCTTTAACCATTATGGTGCGCAGGCACTTTGCCTGCGTGTCCATATCAGGGTGTAAGTGAAAACCATATGAAGAGTTAATATGTACTTTATTTTGAAATAGCTAGAGAAAGGAAATGGAGTTAGAAAATTCCCCCACAGAACATAGCCCCATATGTTTACAGAAACATAAACACAAGTTCTTCCTAATTTTGCTTACTCGCTCTGTCTGGTTTTCAGCAGTTACGTTTTACCTGCACAACTGCTCACAGAAACTAAATTATAAAGTCATCTGCTTCAGTATGTATCTTTGAAAAAAATCTCTCTTGTATGGGAAAGGATTGTGGTTGACACAGCCCCATACAGGCTTTATAGAAACCTCGGTGTGAACGCTGGCATTAGGAGGGCTAAACGAGCCAGAAGAGAGTTTGGCCATGCCTTCCCGTCGGGTTTAAACGCTGGTATGATTATTCTGTTTGACTGTATCTGACAACAAATATTTCAAACTCTGCATATAGGATGGAGTCATCAAAGGCACTATCCCAACTCTAGCCACAGAAATCAGTGGGAATTTCCGTGATGTCTGCAGTGCACTCCACCTTGTGTGAACCAGAGGCAAAATCCCTAGGAACATGTCATAAATGAGCAGTGTCTTCAGACTGAGTCATTGGTCAGTCAGTCTTTGGGTAGAAATAAAGATTGTGTTTGTTGAGAAAGTGATTTGCTCTGAATTTCCCCGCGCTGCTCGGTGATGATGCTGCCCTGCTTTAGCCCAGTGCTCGGCATCTTCTGAGCACAAGTCTGGACTCAGGGGCTATGTCTCATGTTTCCAGCAGACGGTAGTCTCCAGAACCAGGCATCTGGCACCTGTGTCTTCTCGTTTCATTACAGAACACCTTTCCCTTTATTACTTCAAGGAAATGGGAATTTTGCGTCATTGCTGTCATCTGAGTGAAATATTTTCAGATGGCCAGAGACTAGGGTAATGAAAGAACAACTGCATTTATTTATCGTATTTCATTAGCGGAAAAGAGGTTTTATGCTGTTTAAATTAATCATTGCCAGAGGACTGGGTTACTCCCGATGTGAGGGGCAGAGAACGAGCAGGTGCAGAACACCTGAAACAGCAACGGGCCCGGTGCCGGGGGTGTCCTCCAGGGAGAGGACTTTTCCAGCAATTTGTCTGAAAGCATCCAGATGGAGAGTGCAGGGAGTAAGAGAGAGAAGTAAGAGTAGGAAGCTGTACCACGCGGCGTGTATACAAAGTGTACGATAGGTGCCAACACTTCAAATGTTCCCCATGCTGTTGCTTTGACGTATCGATACTTGCACGTTAAAGATATGGTGAGGAGAAAAAAGCAAATTTCTTCATGAATCTCCTCTTGAGATACATGAAAAACTCCACAAATTGGAAGTGAAGTCACG